ATACTAGTATATATATACACACACACACACACACACACACACACATATATATATATATGGATAGAATAAGGCTACTTAGAACGATTGGACATACATCGTAAGCTGTGATAAATTAATACGGTGGCTGTGTTATGGTTGGTGAAGGCAGATAGCAATGGCGCTCTTCGATGAAGGTTAACCCTATGGTGCTATTACCTACACAACATTTTTTTTCCTATTCATGTCAATAATTTTCTACCTACATCAATACCAAATATCATCCATATCATGCTTATTTCTATCAATATCGATATCAGTTCCTATCCGCATCATGTTTATTCCTGCCTACATCAATATCAGCTCCTATCCATATCATGCTTATTCCTACCTACATAGATGCCAGCTCCTATCCGTACCACGCTTATTCCTACCTGCATCAACGCTAACACCTACCGACATCGAAACTCGCACCCACTCACACCCAACAACACACTCCTTGCACTAACTAAAGCCCAATACGTACCCACAAAGGTCAGCAACCCCAGCGATACCATCTCACGTGCATAGGAGCGCTCCGGCAGAGAACCGAAGTCTGCGTATAGGTCACTGTATGTGTAATCTAACCGCGTGGGCCGAGGGAACCCACTCTGGTCATCGGACAGGCCCTCGTCGTCACCAACTGGGGAGTAATTAATGCGGAACTAATTAGAAATTAATTGCGGCTTTGTGAACTGTACTTGTATGCTCTTAGTGGGGAGTTGCATTTCGTGGTTGGTGTGAATTGGGTTGAAAGTTTGATGTGGGCGATGGGATATGAAGAGCTATCGACTGATTGGCGGAGGTTGATGAAGACTAAGTCTGGTCATCAGACGAACACGCGTTTTCTTCTCCCCTCAAGGATATATTGATGTGAAGTAGGGGTTGAGAAGTTAATGTTGAATTAATGTTGAAAAATTAATGTTGAACTAATGTTGAAAAGTTGATATGTGAGTATTGTTGGAAAGTTAATGTTGAATTAATGTCATGAAATTAATGTAGAATTAACGATAGAAAATTAATGTTGAACTAATGCTAGGGAATTATGATGAATTTATGTTGGAAAATTAATATCGAATTATTACCCAAAGACCGTTTGAAATTAAATAAGGAACCCCGAAGGGCCGCCTCCCCGGGTTCCGGGGAGGGACCCTCATGCAAGAGACCGTTAAAATTAAGGAGTGATGCTTGGTGAATTATTTATCTGTAGCTACTCAAAAATCATAGTATAAGTTACTTAAAATGTGGTTGAGGGTAGAATCCCCCGAAGGGGGACATAAGCTATCCCTATGACACTATTCTGAGTGTGGGTTACCTCTATCCTCTTGACTCTGACTAAAGATATATATTTTCTCCTATACTATAGCTACTCCCTGGTCCCTCTCTCATGGAATTTCTACTGACACATTGCCTCTTACTACTCTCATTGCTACCTGCGGACTGATTATATCGACTCACTCCTTCTACACACTCTTGATGACACATCTACACTCATACATTGCCCCGAAGGGAAAATCTCACTCTAGTCTTGAAAAGCCCACCCTCGGGAGAGCTGAGCTGCCCGCTCTCTACGATAGTATAAGTAGGGAATGGTAGATCCATCGGGAAGGGTGGTTCTAAGATGAGATACATCCTTTCGGATCGTAGGTCCCTCTCTTCTTTTAGGGACCGTGTTGAAAAATTAGTTTGGATGTGGTACGGACAGGGGAAAAGTTGTCTAAAACTTAGACAAGATTCCGTTGAACAAATGTTGGAGGAGACCAGCTGAGTCAACAGGCGACCGCTCATCAACTCCCATACGGCACTTATTAACGTGGAGTTAGTCAGGATGTATATGTGTGCGCGTGGACACATGCCATCGGTAGGCACAAAGTAGGTATACATACGCAACGAGCACCTGCACACTCTCAGAATACAGACAAATACTTGTACTCACTTACTTCTTATGCACGACATCTGACGGAAGAAGGACTCAGTAGAGACCTTCGCGAGCTACGCCGCATTTGCGACAGTCGCTGATATGTGCGGGTGGTCGCATATTAAAATATCAGGCAAAGAATGTATATACTACAAATACCTGCACTCTGTATGTACATACAGGTGTACGTACACACACACACTACATAGACATACAGGTGTCCATACATACACTTTATGTACATAAAGGTGCACATACATGCACTATAGATACATACATGTGCCAATGAGTACACTGTATATACATACAGGTACACATACATTCAATTTATATACTTACAGGTACACATACATTCAATTGATATACACACAGGAAAGCATACAGGAAAACTCTTTATGTACATACTTACCACCATGCTCATCATCGGAACCCATTGGCGACGGGAGAGTATTAAGTGACGAGCTGCGTCGCAATAGCGGCGGTCGCTTATATGTGCGGGTGGTCAGGCCTAATAACGAGTCCGCTCGGCTGTGGTATGACAAAGTAGCACAGAATAGTTATATAGATTTAGATGTGCACTCATGTTCATGGCCTAATAACGAGTCCGCTCGGCTGTGATATATCAAAGTAGCACAAAATCGATACATACAATTAGATGTGTTACCCTGACCAGATATCATACTATGATCTAAAAACAGGTACATCGACAAGAAGAGAAAGACAGACAGACACATAATTACAAATACAAAAACACAGCAATACACAGATTAATAAACACACACACGCACACACACATATATATATAAACAAATAGATATATTATATATATATATATATACATATACATATATATATATATATATATATATATATATATATATATATATATATATATATATATATATATATATATAGATATATATATATAGATAGATACGCAGATCCATAAAACACACACACACATACACAAAGGCACACACACACACACATACACAAAGGCACACACACACACACAC